ATAATATCACAAATTCTAGTAGAAATAATTGAAGAAAATATATTGTATTTTATTGAAAGTCCTTGTGTGATTTAGGCAGTCATTGCTTTTTCACATTATCCATTGAAGGAGGTAATTTTTCCACAATTTTGTTAGCCAGAAATACTAGTATTTCTGGTGCCTTCCAGACCTTTTTCAGGGCATCAACATTAACGATCGCACCAACAGCTCGTTAATTAATTTCAATTAAAGTATGTAACATTAATGGTTATAATAGCATTTAAATAATTAGTTACACGACCCGGGCAGAGCAGCACATGCGCCTCGAACCCATCGAACCCATCGAAGCCATCGAAAAAGTATTATAATTTAATGAAAGTGCACAAAAATGTGCGACCAGTGCATTAAAATCGAGCATTAAATGCAGCAAATGGCTAATTAAAATTCACGATTGCGGAGGCCATTCGGCCATTCGGCCTGACACGCTGACAATTTTCATTACAATTCGATTAAGTTTCCCGGCCGCGAACTGTTAATGCTAATTGCAGCAGATATTCCAGCCGATGCTCGTTTAAATAATGCGCCTTTTTATTTGAGCCCCTGCCCACAATCCGCTGGGTCTAATGGGTCAAAAGAACTTCAAAAAACAGAGAGAGAAAATATCGTTCAATCTGTTTGCCTCAAAGCGCATTAGATATGATAGACCTTTGGCAAATGTTTGTTGTAAAAACACACACTGCCAGCCACATGGACATGGACTCGTCTCTGGTACACTTAAGGCGGCCTGGGAAACGCCTGCAAGCTGCAGATTGCTTCCATGTGCCACCGCATCCTGCCCCTCGGCTTGGTTCAGCGCCGCGTGGGTATTGCCAGCAGTTGTTGTTGCTTCAAGTAGGTAAAAAGAGGGAGAGGGAGGGTGAGAGAAGAACAGTACTTGGAACATATGTGCGCCCCTAGCTCCGGGCTTGACCTGACCCCGGGTCGACGGCGCTGCCTTCATGTGTGGGTCTCCCGATTTAATTTTAGGCACCTATATAAACGCATGTTTACACTGCGCCAAGAACACAGTCGCCGTCATCAGTTCGCGCCGTCAACTTCTTCGATCAGTAGTTCTGAAGTTCTCTCCGCGGTTCTCTCGATTGTGTATCGAACTGTTTACGGGTTGTGTCTCTCTCTCCCGGCCTTCTTGAGAGTATTTCCTTTGACTCCTCTGCGGGTCTCCAAATCGAAATTGCATTTGCAAGCGCGGATTTTCGTGTGGCGTGTGGAGTGTGACCAAACCAAAGCAACAAAAAACTGAAGAAAAAAATCGTTTAAGCGCCAAAGCCAAAGGAACACACAAACATTGAGGCAGGGGACCATCAAGGATGGGGGGGGGGCTAGGGGCAGGCCGGGCAGGATGGTGGAGCTGTCCCAAGCCGGCCATGTGGCGCAAAATATGCGCATAAAAAAAGTCAAACAAAAAAGGCGCAATTTTATTACGGCCACACGAAAAACAACAACAAAACACAACAAAAATACAAAAAACACACATACACACACACAAAAATACTGGAAAAAAAAAATCAAAAGCAGCAAAAAGTTTATGAATTTTTTGTGCAGGCGTGTGAAAGATGCAAAACAAAAGTTAAAAAAAAAAGCGAAACAGATACCACGGATACGGAAAGTACGAGTTGTATCTGAGGGTGGACTCTGTGTGGGAGACTGGAGACTGGGGCCCCAGTCACATATAAACACACTTCAGTGCGCTTAAAAATTGCTTTATTGCAGTTGGACTATAAAATCGCACGGCAGCAGGCAGGCAGCGCAAAAAATGAAAAGTACGGGGGGAATAAAAATGAAAACTCTTCAACGAAAAACAGGAAAAATTTGCATGCCACAAAAATAAGCATAAGGATTTGCTTCTCACAAAGTAACAACACAGGAGAAAGGAAATGGAAACCCCACAGGGACGGGCCAGAGAAATGGTAGACAAAAAGTGGTAACAGAACGGAAGAGAGAGAATGCAGCCACAAAAGAGTGTGCCCAATGGTTTTGCAGTTGGTAAGTCGTTTTGCCGGTTTTTGTGGCCAGCAATTACCTTCAGTCGTTGTCATTACTGGCAATTGCTTTATGGTTTTGCTCGTTCCCGAAAAAAACATCAAAACATCAAAACATCAGCGGGTAAGTAAAGCCATTCAGATAAAGTGAGTGAGTGAGTCCCCACCCAGGAGAGGGCTAATAAAAGTCAAAGACGGAATCAGAAGGCCTTTGAGAGTTCCATGCTTCCTTGCATTCAATAGTATAACATAAAGCATATGGAATGTAAAGAAGTATGGAGCGAAATCTGGCAAGACATCGCCTACAGTGAAGTGGAAAAACTGAGTGAAAACATAGCCTTAAAACACACACTAAACATGCCATTCTAATCCCACTTAATGCCGCCCCAAAAACATCTGTGTTAATATCTGTGAAACATAAAACCACCAAAATAAAATAATGCAAATATAAACAAGAAGTAAACGCTGGTTTGTGGTGTCGAAACACTAGATACCCTACAGGGTTAAGGGTTTCCAAGGTATAGTTATATGATATGGGCTTATGATCTTGTCCTTCCCCCAAACTTGAGTGCTCGAATCGAGGGGTTTTACGCCAAAATATGAAACACAATTCAAATACTTTGCTGCTCGTTCGGCAGTGAGTCATGTTAAAAATAGCCAGCAAACATTTCAAATATTTCTGTAAAATATTCTCCTATATATATGGATTTTTCGAGCACACAAACACACACACACACACACGCAATGGTATCACATTTCACTGTGTGTGTGTGTGTGGGTCCATTCGGATCGTATCGGATCGGTTAAAAATAAATTCGTGTCCGACGCACATATGGGATAAAATGTTGTTGTTTAGTTAAACGGCGGCTATATGTAATACATAGACCGCGAGTGAGGGTGCGGGGGCGGGTGTGGGGGGCGGGTCTTAGCCCCCGGCTAGAGCCAGTTTGAATTGCAGTTAAGCACCGGGCTGCACGGTAAGCCCTCCCGGAACATGTGCGCCAAAGTGGATTTACCAACTTGAAATTATCGCCGTGCTGGCCCGGCCCCAGCCCCTGCCCCTGCCCCAGCCCCAGTCCCTGCCCCCGCACGGTGGTAGCATGTGGCGCCATCCAGCGGTGGATGGCTGCATCGGTGGCTATAACTTAATGCAATTAATATGCAAAATCGTGACACACCGAGCCCCACTCCAGTGCTCCACCTACGACCATTCCTTTGCCGACGATGACGACGACGACGACGACGATGACGACGTGCACAGCATGTGCAGAACGATGCACTGAGTCGGGCTCCAGCCAGCATGTGGCAGCCACATCTCGCTGCCCCCCAGCACAGTTTCTTCTTCTACACTGTCCATCCCCAGCCCCAGCCCCATCCCCCCCCTCTCTCATCAGAGTCTGCCACTAGAGCGCATTAAAAGCAAAAGCACAGCGAGGAAGGCAAAGGCAAAGGCAAAGGCAAAGTGCGCTAAATTGATGAGCGTCACGTGCGTTTTGCTCACTTTGTGCCACGCCTGCCCCGCCCCCGCTCCGGCCCGCCCCACAGTGTCATACGAGATGTGTGGACGTGGCAGGCAGTCAGTGATGGCACAGAACTAATGAATCGGTAGAAACCTCCAAAGAACCTGGTTTTGATGAATATTTAGGGGTTTTAAATTATTAAAAAATATATTGGAACTATATTTAAACAAAACTAAAACGATATAGGCTATATTCTTGGGTCTTTTATAAGTAGGAATCCTTTTTAATCCTTTTTCTTTTCTTGTACTCCCAATCGATGCATCCTTTCCACCCCTAAATATTTTGGTTTCCTTTCTAGCCGCATAATTTTGGACATCACTGTTGGCCCTTGCCTTGAATCTCATCTCATCGGCTGCGCTGCGCTGCTCTGCTCTGCTTTGGTCCTGCCACCGAGGCTTCAGGTGGGGGGCGGGGCGGTAGAAGGACCTGCTGCTGTGTCTGTGTCTGGTTGTGCAGCTCCTCCTCCACTCATATAATATTTGTTGTTGCCCTGCCAAGTCGTAAAAGTAAACAGAGCATGTGGTGTACTCCACGGTGTTGTGCGAGTACGAGTATATGCCATAAAGCGCTTAATTTTTTGTTGCCTGTTCGTGGGCGCCACACCCGAAAGGTGAGAAATATGACGCCCCGGCTCCAAGTTGCAGTTGGACCCCTTCGCTATTTGCACTTTACACAGAATACGGAATGTATACGGAAGATACACCCGTAAAATATATACGAATTTATTCGAAAGAGTTCGAAATTTCCCCCCAAGAACAAAAGAGAGTGAAAGCAACCACAAATTGACCCACATTTTGGGCAGTGACACGCCCACTTGCTGGCCAAGACATTACGTATTTTGATGGGCGGCCACAAAATGGCAAATTAGTTTCAATTAAATAATGTTGTCGCAATTTAGACGGGGGCCCTCAGACCCTCAGCCCCCAGTCTCCTGCTGGCTCTCCCCCGTCAATGGCTCCCTCTCTTTCCAACTGTGTGTCACTGTAGCTCTCTCTCTCTCTCTCTCTCTGTGGCAAATGTGTGCACGACAGTTCATGCATAACGCAAATGCTGAAAGCGCCGCAAGGAGTCGGTCCATCGACATGGCCGGCATCCTCGACGGCATCAGGGTCCCAGCATGTCCACGCAATAACGATTGTGGAGCATAATGCCCATAATGTCCTCATAATTACTGAACACACACACAGGCCAGACCAGGCCAGACCAGACCAAGCCCTCGGCACCCTCGATGGCCTCTCGGGGAGCAGACCAGAGCTGTCCTGTCCCATCCCATCCTATCCTATCGTGAACGTGTTGACAGAGCTGGGGAGCTGGAGTCAACGCTGCTGGTCTGCAATTTGCATTTAATGTACGCATTGTTTTATTAATTTTGAGTGTTCTCATTAAAACACACACAACATTTATGAAATTAATATTTGTGCTGCTCCAACACCACAATCGAGTGGAGCTGGCTGCCACCTGCTGGGCCAAGAAAGTAATTAAGGAAAAAATGGAATAGTCTTACACATAAATTTAAATGTAATTTAAACAAGATTTTAAATTGGAAAACTAAAAAAAAATACATTTATTTGTGGAGTGGATTGAATGCCATACTTAATCTTAGATCTATCTCTCTCTCTCCCAGAGTGGCCTAGCATGTACTCCCATCTCCTCCCTCTCTTTCCTCCCCCTGTAACTCCACTGATAAATGTTAGAAAAAGCTTTGTATATTACAAAAGAGAGCACCATGCCTTCCATCAACATCCCAAATCTGTTCCAAATCGTAACACTATATCATATATGTGTCATCGTACTACCCGTGAATGGTATAACCACAGCTTTGTATTATATTTTATGCAACAACTGTCTCGGTCGGCGGGCTAGTTTTGCATATTTGAATATTTCTATTACAGAAATCATTTATGCCAAAAATGGTCATGCATAAATTAAGAGATATATGCAGATGAAATTTAGCACGCCAATACCGCAAAGGGGGTGAGGGGTGCTGGTTGGTGGGGGGGGGGAGAGTACAAAAAATAGAATTAATATTTATTACGCACATTTTGGTTGATTTGGTTTTCCACTTGGTTGCACTTTGCCCACCAAAAACTAAACATGTCCTGTAGCCCCCCTAGACATGGTCCCCTGCACACAAACATTGATATGAATATGAATATAAACACAGACAGGGACATTGACAGGAGCAGGACCCTCGACATGAACATGAATAAATATTTAGTTGGGACAAATAGCTGCAGCGACAAAAATGCTCGACAAATATTACATGCAAATAAGTTGTACTCAAATATATTTATTTGTTTTAATTTATTTACTCAATACTCAATGTCGGTGCAGTCGCCACTGCTGTTGCTGTCTCTGTTGCCTTTTTATACCCGGTATTCGGGGGCGAACAAGGGGCATGTTGCACTCGTGGAAGGGTTTGCAATTTGTGGGTTTCCCATGGGCCATTCCAGCAGGCATTTCGGGCCTTATTTGTTAATCCATAGCCTGTAGATCTTAAAGAACTATAGGAGTATATTAAATTCTGCATAAATCCCTAGCGAATCGGTTCTTCTCCCTCTAGAATCTCCATCTCTTAATATAGATCCCCTTGATATCCCAGGTATCCAATTTCCGACTCTTGCAGCTGCAACCCCCCTGTTGCCCCCCTGTAAATTTAGTGGCTTTGTAATTTGCATAAATCAATTCGAAAATATCCACGGCGGCCTGCTATCACATTTCTAATTATGTGGATGGCATTTTTAGTTTGTTTAATTTATGCAAATTGTCGCCGGTGCAATGCAACCCGAACAACATTCTCTGATTAATTGTTTGTGGTGGGTTAATTATTTTTTATACAACAGAAACAACAAAAGAAAAAAAGAAATTGCTAGCCAAACACGCACTGCGGCAGTAATTTCCTTTCGTTGTTCAAGTGGCAATTTAATTAAGCCATTTAAAAGCTCTAAATATTAGCAATTAATATTAATGCAGCCGCATAAACGCCTGCGACAGTTTACACGATTTAATTATAGATTATGTCCCGCCATTAAATTATTTAGCCAAGTGGTTGCAAGGCCCTAGCAGCGGCGATGATTAACAGAGTCAAGGCATATCGAATTTATGGTAGATTTAAATGGTTTTTGCATTAAAATGTTACCTTTTCTGTGGGCATATGTGTGCAACAGGCACTGAAAATAGGGGGACTCCAGTGACCATTGAAGGTCTGGCTCAGAGACACGAACAGAAGGTCGGTAGCAGTCGGTAGCAGGGCAATTAATCAACAAAAAGGAATATATATTTTTATTTATTTTAAAACTAGGCTTAAACCTTTCTTTTGAAAGCGTTTTATTTAAATAAAAATAGCATTTCAAGGAAAACCCAATAATTATTCTCGTTTCACAAAAACGTTTTTCAATCGGCTTTCAGGGGCTTTGAGGCGATTGGATCTCGTTTGCTGGCAGAACCGCCTTAGTCCCACATTTCTAGTTTATTATGCCAATTAAAAGGACTCTGATGCTAATGCGATTTGTGCAGAACAAGGCGATATTGTGCAATGATTACGCAGCGCACAGTTTCCCCTTAATTGGACTCATCTTTTAATTGCCATATTAAGCACGCTCGATAAGTATACGCAGTGTGGCCGGCGCACACACGTACTCCCACACGAATGCCCAGACAATGGCAAGCAATTATGCATGAAGACGGTATTTAGTTGAAATTGATTGCACACCCAAAAGGAGGACACCAGCGGGTTGTATATCGAGGAGAAATGCTAACCCCAAAACATGCGACATGCCTCTCCAAAAGCCAGCCAGGTGTGGAAATGTCTGTGAGTGAGTCTTTGTCTCGGTGAGTATCTGTGTGTATCTGTGTGTATCTGTGTGTATCTGTGTGTGGTGCATTAGTATCTCCGTGAGTGTGCACTCAATTAAGCATCTTGCATGTCGCACAAATATTGCAGCCTAGACACAATTTTCATCCTGCACTCGACACCTCACCCGTTGGCCGCGTTAATTGATAAACTTCGTTCGAGAAACTTTTCGTTTGACATTAGACATTTTCAAAAGTTCCAAACACACAAATGGAAAAAGTGTTTTGCAAATAGAGAGATGTTTGTACAAAAGCCTGAATTGCTGCGAAAATTTTAAAGGAAAAGCTCCTAGAAATGCATCTAAATGAAGTGGAAACTCTCTGCCGCACAAAGGAGCTTCAAACACAAAAGGTATCCCTGGTGGCAGTGCTAAAAAATCTCCCTGGGTTGTAGCAAAACCCTTGACCATCCCTCGCTCCTTTTGCAGCTAATAAAGCTGATTTTTTCTGCATTTCTGCAGCCCTTCAAAGAGTATACAAATTTCTATGCAAACCTCACAACAGTTCATAGTATTCCCTCCTCTAATAATTTCAATCAGAAACTTCAGCTTCATTTATTTGTAGCCATGTTTAGTTCAGCAAATTTCGCCTTTCAACTCAATTTCGACATAAATCGAAATCGATAACGTAGCAAATGCTTGACCCAAAAAGTGTTCCTTGAGAAATTGCATTTATTAATGCAAAATAGGAAATTTCTGCTCAGCTGGCCAAATGGCTTTGCCTCGATGCTCAGAGAGGGGGCGGGGCCCACATGTGTGCGTAGGACCAGGTTGAGGGTCCGGCAAAGCAATATCCTTCAACGGCTCCATTTATTACGATATTTATGTGAGGGCGTAAATCAAGAACACCAATGGAATGGAATTAATAAATGAGTCTACACAGCAGCTGCCGTTGCCTGAGCCACTGATGAAAGTTTTGGCTTTTCCCGTGATTCAAACTAAGCCAGGATGCTCTTAAAGGACCTGCAAATAAACACCATTGAGGGAAAATACCACTTTTAAGTAATAAATTGTAAGGAAAGGTTATTGAATCTTGTTTCGCGTTGATATTTGATGGGTTTCGACTTTCTTTTCAGAGTTTTCATGGGATTTCTCTTATTTATGGCAGATATATTTCGCTGTGCCAATCCTCGCTTTTGTGGATTCTGCTTCATCTATATACAATTCGTGTTAAATTCGTATAGAAAAGGTTTTCAGATCTACCCAATAATTCAGCCATGAATTGAATTTGAAAAACAATAGAAAAAAAGGTGAATATTATACCGAAACACATGGCCATAAAATCCAATTACAGAAATGTCGGTGAATGTGCAAGCCGCAACATTGTAGGGTAGGGGAAGGGGCAGAGGCAGAGGAAATTCCTATTTTCAGGGAAAGGATTTTCAATTTACGGAGTTGTGTATCTCTGCCTTTTTCATATTTTATGTTAATTAAACTTGTTGCCGCGGCGGTGTGGCGGCGTCTATGCTGTTGCCCCTGTTTTTGCTGCAACTTGAAACCAATTACGAAGACACCCAGATACACATGTGGCACTCACACCCTGACAGCATGTTATGCTGCTTAATTCCCGCCCCCACTCCCACTCCCACTCGTTACTTCGTTAGTTACGAGTAGTTTTGACGTGGCACAGAGCCGTTGCAGTGGCAGCAGCACGGGGCACGGGGCGCGCTCTCCAAAGCGTGAAATAACTTCCGTTGCAAATTTCATTTTCGTTGCACACACATTTTTTGTATCCACACAAAATGCACAATGCAGACACACGAGATGCGAGCTGCGAGCTGCGCGATGCGCGATGCGAGTGGGCGTCGGAGTGGGCGTGGGCGTGGGTTGGCTGCGCCTCCCATTTCAGTTGGAAACTTTTGGGGCTCTTCTTGGCAGTGAATATGTTTTAATGAGCTTCAAATTATGATGCGGTGGAGCTTGCTGGCGCTTATACCCGTAAGCAGCAAATCATTTTATACATTTTTGTTCATAAATTTAAGCCAATGGAACACTTTCTAACCATCAACATTTGTTGAGCCTTAAGACTATTTATTATTCATGCAAAAGTTGAAGTATTCTTTAAAGTTCTATGAGTTCTAGCTTTTTTAAAGCTTAAGCCGGGAGGTTTTCCTCATATATTTGCAGAGAAATGGGACCAAAACCTAAGGGATATTTTAGTTCGTAAAATTCAAGATATTTTAATGAAGCCTCGAATGTTTTTCCATGGCATATGAAGCTGACACTTATTTAAAGAGGAGATATAGATCTATTCTAGTCCTATCCTATTTCCAATGACAAAACTTGTTGCTCTTTCATTGGAGAATCCTCAGCAGAGAACCTTCTTTCCTCTGCCTTGGGTCGCTTCCAATTTTGCTAATTTGAATGTAAAAAATCTCTCAGCAAAGCCACACATGTCAAGGACCTTCTCATAGTTGAAACTCCTCAAATTTCAGTGCAACTCTCTTCCACTTTCTCTCTCTCCCTGTACAACTCCAAGGCCTTTTTCACCGCCTTGGGCCCGCCTGAATGTGTTCGGAAAAGTGTTGAAATGTTGCTCAACTTAAATGAAAATGACTTTGGGAAGTAGCTTTTGCCTTCGTGTACTTCTGCCTTTCACTTCTTTATTTCGTTCCTCTGGTTCCTCTGGTCTCTCGGCTTTCTTTTGCCAAATGCCGTGGAAATAAAGTACTGCATATAATTTGAATTTAATACTTTATTGTTGTTCTCCTGTCCTGTCCTGAAGTTTGTAATTATTTTCTTACTTCGCCTGCCACAAGTGTGAAAATCACCACAACTTTTTCGTGTGAAGCCATTTTCCTGGCTTTCTCCAGCATTTTCCAACAGTTTGCTGTTTGTTGATTATGTTACTTTTTCCCGCCTCGGGGACAGTCACAAAAAGTAAGGTCTTTTTTGCATGGCTACACGAAGTTTTGCCGTGCAACAGCAGTGGCAGCACGGAAGGGGGGAAGGGAAGGGGGGTTCTTGCACATTAAAAATGTATGGAAAATAATTTAGTAAATATTCGGTCAATAGTTTGCAGAGTCCCTACTTTTTGTTGGGGGTAGGATGCGTAGGGTAATAGTGTTTGAGCCGGATGGTGGCCAGGGCAGAGAAGGAAGTGTTGCTATAGGAATGAGGGATCTGCAAGGCCATCTGCTAATATCCTTTCCAATATCCAATAGAGAATCTATTGAATAGGACCAATTGGAAAGCCGGGGGAGCTCTCGACCCTGTGAACGGTCTGAAGTAAAGCCAAGACCAGGGGACCTAGGCAAGACCCAGGCAGGACCCAGGACCCCGAGCGGTGTCCAATCGGAAGCATCCCCAATAGCCCAAACGTCGTCAGAATAGGAGGCCCAGGCCATATAATGATCATGATCATTTTTCATACTTATGATGTATTTAATGGATGCAATGACTAAGGAAACTCCTCTTCAGATCTGAACAGTCCCAGGAAAAGGCTTCTCACGAGTAAAGAACTGATGAATTAATCTACAAATTTGTATACAATTAATTGCCAAAAAGTGGTTCCTTAATCATTGGAGGTAAAAACTGTATTCCACTCGGAAAATTCTGGAAATTCGATCTATTGCAAGTCAGAATTGTGCTGCAACTATTATATTTCTTAATTCTACACATATTCTTTTTAAATGTATACCAGTTTTACTTTTCCCATGCATCGTATAACAGTCGACATGCACTTGGTTTGAGTCTTGGCTAAGCCAACGAAACTTTTCTATTCCACCACCAAAAATCGAAAGATCGGAAATGAGTGGGAAACATCCACCAAAAATGGGTGGAAAAGGGCCCGCCTAAGAGAGTGGTGCAACGAAAGAGAGCGAGAGAGGGGGAGGGAAGGGGGAGAGAGAGAGCGGAAGCAAGAGGGAGCGTGTCGTGATAACAGAAACCGGTTTTATTTTCCAGAATGTTTGTTTTTTGCCTGGGTCGCTGGGTGATTTCTAGTTTTTCCAAATTCAGAATGCACCGGCTGATTGGACCGTTCACTTGTCCGTCCCTCTACACAGTTCTCAGCAACTCTGTTTATTTATTAAAATTCAAACAAAATCATGGCCACAATGGATGATCATTTCAATAGGGTAATGAGGAAAAATCCCACCATTCAAGACGACCTACGTGGCATTTTCAAGAGCTCCTCATGCGACTCTCCCCAGCGGTCAATCACGCTCTCGCAGATACGTGGCAAGTACCCAAAAAGCAAGGTATACAGACAGAGCGTTTTCTAATTGCATTTTTTTGTTTTATGTGGCAGCTGCTTACAGCGAGAGAACCGGCAAGGAGTTCCCCATCAAGGGTGGCACGCGCACCCAAATGTGTTTCATTCTGACGGTGCCATATGTCTGCTGTTTCACCAGTCGAATCGGTACTCTTCGATTTTATACAATTGACATAAACCAGGAGAGATAGAAGATGTGTACAGGGTATGAGTGTGTACGCGTACAGGAAAGCATCTAGTCATTGGAGTGCAATAGCAGTAAGGAAATGATAGGATACAAAAATATATATATTTTTATATAAAGAAATCCGAACTGAACCTAAAAGATTAATAAAGAATATTCTTACCACTATAAACATTCGAAAAATGCATGTAAATGGGACTTAATTTTGGTATTAAATGCAATTAGTATACTACAGTGGACTCTAGTTGATTGCAGAAGCTGAGAGCTAAGATAAGAACCATTTCTCTGAGTTACATTATTAATTTCCCCTCCCTAGGAATTCCCTTCAGAGGAATTTCCCTCATCATACACCATGGAATGCAAATAAGGGCCAAATTTTTAGTCTTTTCCATTAATTCCCCAAAGAAACGTTTCAAAAATATGTGAAAATATTGTTTTAGAATACCGAAAAATGCGTCATCGAAAACTTCCAATTTCAAATTGAAATTCCATTCCAGGGAGTTGTGTGTTATTTTTCTGGCACTGCCGCTGCCAATTGTAATTGGGGGACAACAGCAAATCGGCAAACCTCAATGCAAATAAATGACCGAGTGAGTGACAGCATGTCCGTGCATCAAATCAAATGTATTTGCTGCCGCAGCTTTGCAGACCTACAAAAAGACCCAAAAAACTAGAACACCAAAGCCAAACAACTAACAACCAACAAACAACGCGGGGGGGGGGGGGGGGGGGGAGCGGACCAGACCAAATAAACCAAATCCGAACACACCGAAAATGGGTCCGAGGATGGGTCCCGTCACGCAGTCGCAGAATCTCAGATGTCGTGGACCCAAAGCAAAGCATAATGAAACTAAATGCCGAGAGAAGAAAAACCAAGCCCCCCCCCCCACCCCTCCCCCGCCAAAACAAATTCATTACGGAACTACACCTCAGGGGGTGATAATTCGATTCAACGAAACTTTGGTGATTATTTATTGCTTCATGCGGCGACTCGTACTCCAACGCCCACCCCGTGACCCCCCTGTCTGTGTGGGGCAAGTTCGGTTCGGTTGGGCTGCATGTCCCGGGCGCCATGTCCCCATGGTGTTTTGCTGTTAGTGTCATAAAATGTTTTGTGGCCCAAAAACTCGGCCCTGGAACTCATTATTTTGTTCATTAACACTTTTTTTTTTCCTCCTACTTCCAGCTTGTTTTTACTATTTTTTTTGGTTTTAGATGGTAGGAATGTGTGCTACAGGGTGTTCTAGGTAGGCATAGGCCCTGATAGGGGGTGCCATATATATTTTGGAATGTTTTTTCCATTAAAGGAAGTACTTTTTTACAATTCTTATCCTTGGATAAATTTATAACAATATTTCTATCCCTTAAACCCCCTCCCAGGGTATCCCTTGGTCCTCACTTGCACTCTTGGCCCTCCCCCACATTTATGTGGCTGTTGTGCTGCCCTCGTCTCATGATATGGATTTCCTCCAGGACCATCAATTAAATTACGCTATCTTTTGTCTGCTTCTGCCTCTGCCTCTGCCACTGCCTCTGCTCCTGGGAAGGGTCCTGGGATGCCATTTTGCATGGCAAATTTTATTTATGTGCCTAAAAATATATATGTACAGTGCGGTACGGTTGTGCGATGCCATAAACCTAAAATGATTTTTGCATAATGTTTGTTTTGCTGTTTTGTTGTGTGTTTGTTGTGTTTGGCTTTTAGTTTTCCATGGGCATAAACATTTTTTATGTCTCATTAAGGTTTTGTTTTCGCTTTTTTGGGTCCTATGTGTTCTATTCGGTGGCTTATCGGAGGCCAAGTTGAAATGTTGTTAACTTTTACTAGCTGCGGCTTTAATTCATTAGTGGAAATGGTCCGAGGAGGCTGATTTCGTCCTGCTTGCCACTGGCTTATGGCCACTTGGCCGAGTTATAAAATGTTATCGAGGGCGCAGGTTTTTATGTCTCAGGGTCAGATAAATGTGTTTATAGCGGAGACCGGGACTGGCTTTTATCTTGGGGAAGGGGCTGTGGCTGTGGCTGGGGCTGTTTATGACACGCATACGAAGCGTGGGACGAAGATTTGTCGTGGGATTAGGCAAAAAACATTAAGAGCGGGTCATTAAGAGAGTCCTTATATAGTAGGCAAAGAAAGAGATACAGGATCTAATGAAGGGGGGAAGTGAGCTCTTAAAGTCTTACAAAATACAAATATTCTAGCTAATTTTCAGCATATGAAAACATGTTAAACCCCCAAAATATGAAAAACTTTACATTCACAGCAAATTTAGCCAGCTGTCAATTGGTGTGGAGTGTTTATATCCTCCTCGTCCGCCCTCCGCCCTCCGCCCTCCTCCTGCAGGACTCCCCTTCTCTAATCGCTTCTAATAACGCACAAAATTGAAAAACTTGTGCGATATCATGGGGGACTCCAGCTGCCCGGCGGGGAGACCAGAGACCAGACCAGAGACAAACCAAACCGGACCCGACAACTTGCGACAACTTAAAGCACATGCGAGGGGGCCAGCAGGCAGGGTGGGTGGGGGGTGGGGTAGGGGGGTGGTGGAAATCAAGAAAGAAAAGAAATAAGTAACAAGAAGAAAACTGTCATGATATGCCCGTAAACACGGCCAGCTGTAGATGCTCCAAGGGCCAGGACCTCCAACCACCACTTCCCCGGACATGGGAATGGACATGGATTGAACCTTCTTCGGGGGAGGGTGGGGGTGGGGGTGCCAGTGCGGGTGTATTTGCTTTGCACTGTGCCACTTTGGAAATTGTGCAGATTGTCCAGTTACAGGGCGTGTGGCGCATGGCGTGGCGTCTGTTTGTTTTAATTTCTCTTATCGGCAGGCAGTCCCAGGCCCCAGTCCCCCGCCCCAGCTCCGTTTCCTTTCGAGTTGTGCTCCTTCCACTCGGACTCCCCAGAGCCATACAATTTTAATTGCACAATGGCAGCTCCTTTTGTTTTCTAGCTGCAATTTTTTAAAATGAATTCATGGCCTGGCTGGGCTCGGCGCGGCTTGGGGCTTGGGGCTGGGGTCTGGCCTGGGTCTGGGCCTTGGACTGGGTCTGGCTCTGTGCCCGGCTCTGGCGCTCTTTTGTTTGACGTCTCTAAATCCGCAAGGAGTTTGACTGCGTCGACTACTGTTCCTGCCCAGGAAGCCAGCGAGCTATTTAATTGAAAGTTGCTTTGTGACTCCGTCGGGGTAAGCTAATAAAATGTTTAACTTTGATTTAGTTGAGGGATTTCTAAACCGAATGCACTTTAAGGGCACTCCAACGACTGCCCCCCCCAGCTGGCTGTAAAGATTCATTTTGAAACATTATTCGAGAGGAGAGTTAAATACGAGCTTGGAGATTTCCTTATAATAATTATGACGAAGGCAAATAGAAGGCCGAAAACTTAAGGCGTGGCATCTCTCCTGTCCCACCCAAGTCCCCCCTCCCTGTAGATAGATTTCCCCACCCTTAGGGGTCCTCCCCAACGCCTGTCAGTGCCCCCCACCTATGGGAAATAATAAATTGCTTCTATGCAATTTTTTAATTACAACTTTTAAGTTCCTGTGAAATCGGGTTGTGTGAGAGGTCAGAGGGCGGTGCGAGAGGCGAGGGGTGCTCCGGCAGCTCCAATTTGAATTATGAGCAATTAGGTTTGGCCAACCACAAGCAAGCGAAATGGTTTTTGCACGCTGATTAGGGGCTGTGGATGGTGGGGGTGGGTCGTGGGGGGTCGTGGGTCATGTGTCAACAGGAGAGGGTCGGATCGGGTCGGGTCGGGTCTGCCCCACGGCGCGGCGTTGCACTGCAGTGGATTGCGGTCAGCTGCATGTGTCGGAGTGGGGGAATGCGTGTGTAATGAGGCTTAATTTGTTAAATTCCATGGCTTATAATTGGCATCGGCCAGACCGCAAGGCAGACCGTACCGGGGGGGACGGAGGGGGGGCACTGAGAACTGGGGCAAGTGCAAAGTGTAATTATGTGGTCGCTTGGCCAGCCCTCAACTACCAGATTTGTTTGCCCGAGTGCTCGAAGAGCTTGTTGTTTGCTTGTTTGTTGTTTGTTGGCCTGGCCAAAAACCTTAAGCCTTGTCTAAGCAAAATGCCACAATTTAAGCCACAGCATTGTGCGGGCTCTCGCTGCGTTCGCTTGCCATTTTATGGCATTTTTATGGCCCCGAGAATACAAATAAAACCAAGTGCCATTATTTTTACACCTCGCTGGCACTCGCACACTCGACGCTGCAAAAGCCCCACAAAATGCACACAAAAATTAAGTTTTGCCCCCCCCCCCAAAAAGTAGAAAGAGATGATGAGGGTTAAGGGCAACACAGGTCATAAGGAATAGTGGATGCTCTTGGAATTAGCCCACAAAAAAAAGAGGGAAGAAATGAAAAGGAAAAAGTCTAAATAAATGTTTAAAAATTATAATAATTATACGAATCAATACATATTGAAATAGGGATCTTAAACGGGCTACTATTCATCCTTTGTAGTGCTCTTTGGCTACCTATTATACCTACAGTCTATAGCCCATATACTTGATAGTTTTCCTTTGAAGATCAGACGCTTAAAGGAGCCCAAAGAACCCCCCTTTTCTCAGCATTATCCCAGGCTGCCCTGCCTATTGAGAGTCCCTTCTAAAGACTACTCCTGTGTAACCTCTAAGGCATTCTAAAACCGAATAAAACTTTGAAAAATCTCCAAAAAAGAGCGTCTTAGAAACCCAACACCGCAGAGCCCTGACCAACTCCTGTTAGATCCTTTGGCGTCTCTCCTCTGCTGCCAATATTAATTATGAATCTCTATTCCCCCAGCAAAGCCGCCATAAAAATGCATATACCCCTTCCTAAAAATTAATTCAGATGCCATCCCTGCCACATGCAACATGGCTAGTGTCATGGTAAAACTTTTTTTGTGTTGCTTACATTTTTTCTCTATTTTTGTTTTTTTTTTTATTGCACAACTTTATCCTTTTTCGGGGCGAACGCACATTGCATGCATTTTCCACGGGCGAAACGAAAAAAAAAGGAAACTTTTTGAGCCATTGTTTTCTTGTAAATGGCAACCGGAACCCTCGGCTGTGGAGAGAACATATCTAGAGCCCGTACCGGGCAGCGCCATTTTGGCCATAATCTG